AATTGAACTAAATCCAAACAAGTTTATAATTAATTTAAACTAACCTATGCTACATTAATGTCGCAGCTAATTTCTTTGCGATTCATAAGAGTCATCCCATTTTGTCTTTCCTTCTGTGTTTGAAGTATCAATGATTGGGAGATCTCGATCGATGGTTTGTGCTTCTTCCACGAACAAACTAACTTCCACGAGATCTTCCTCCTCAACATTGTGAGATGCGAATGACTTCGAGAGAGTCGGATTCTACAATGATATTGTCAGATGAGTCTCTATTCAATGCCGTTTCTTTTGTGTGAATTTGCAGCCAGCCTCGATGAATTTAAATTCCCATCCCAATTTCGAAGAATCCAACAAATTCCTCCACGATTGGTGTCTCCTTTTGCCTTTCTTACTCATGAATACTTCTATCAATGCACTTCATAAGACTCTGAAAACTGTGGTTGCTGTTTGTTATGATAGATTTTGTTCCTATAATCCCATTTTTTCTATTGGATTATTAGTATTTTATGCATGGTCATCTGCACACTTTCCCATACAATAGTCCTTCGAGCTTCAGCCTTCTCTGTACAGACAAACAGAACTAACATGGCTTAAATCTCATTCTCTTGTTCTCGTGGTTGCTCAGGTTTGCTCTTGTTCATTTAGAAATTAGTTGAGACAATGTAAAAAATGGACGATGTTTGTTTGCATATTTGTGGAATTGATACTCATATCCGTTTTTACGTGCTATAAATATGATATTGAAACGAATGAGTAGAATATGTTGCTTTATGAGATTTTATGTGCTTCATTTTTCTATTGCATAGTTTGAGAATTACTTTTGATTTATTCTCAAGGAGAAATTTAACATTAATTCTTCTAAGTCGCTCTTGAGAACTAACTCTTTGAAAGTATGTTTGTGAGTAGAAGAAATATTTGTTAGGAATTATTTATTAGCCATGAATATTTTTTAATCATAATTTCATCAAAAAGTGAAGGTGATGAAACCATTGCTGGAATCACGCGAGGTCTTGGGAAAACACGTGGTGAATTCTTGACAATAGTCGTCGAGCGTGCAACGGTAGTACAACAAAAGTTTATGCAATTTGATGCAACAATGGTGGTGGAAACATATTTTGTAATCTTGGTTTGGATGACGATGAAGAATGTTATTTGGAAATTTAGAAAGAAATTTAGTTGTTTTTATTTTCGGAAACCTGTAAATATTTTGAATGGCATATATTGTTAACGAAATATATATTATTATCCAAACAATTTGGCTATTTGAACTTTTTAAATTTAACAATGAATTTTGAGGTTAATTCTACATTAGACGGAAATTCAGGTTTGTAAATGAGGAAAATTAAAATGAAAAAAAAAATTAAAACAATAATAAGGAAAATTAAAATGAGATAATTAAAATAAAAACAATAAAAGAAGAACAATAATAAGGAAAATTAAAATGAGATAATTAAAATAAAAACAATAAAAGAAGCAACAACAATGTTGCCAAAAGGCCGCTAAGCAAAAATATGCGACCAAAACGTATTTTATCGCAAAAATGAAATGAAAATGTACTGTCTTCGCCTAACTTCAGCAACTCACTTTCCGTAACGAAATTTGCGACGAAACACTTTTCGTCACTAATAACCTTCTGCGACGAAATTTTTTTTCAGCAACAAAAATATTTCGTGGTTAAAAGCTCTATTTTTTGTAGTGAGAAGTAGCAACCTTGACTCGTGCTAATTCCTTTCTTTTCCATTTTACCATATAATGTGGATGATATCATCGTAAATTTTCCAGTTGCATATGTTTTGATCTTGGGATCGAGTAACAACCGTTTTCTAGAACCTTTTACACTTCTGCTCAAGGTATGTTAAATATTGAGCGACACGTTGAAATGTCGAACAGCCCGACATATAACCAAAAACCAATATCGATCTTATCCAAATACCGACGGCATACCAATATTTTGCTAACATTTCGTTAAGATTCGTCACGTCGTCGAAATGTCACAAATACATATAAAAAAATATATAACTTGTCATCCCAGCTTTAATTTTGACGAAAACCCAAATCAAAGTACTTAAGCGATAAATACTTTTGACCTTGAAATTACTTTTTTTTTTATTTAGGTCTTCCATGTTAAGAATCTTACGTTGAAAACATAAAGTACCTAACAAAAATTTAATTATAAATATACATGGACTACTCTTAATCTCACGTATATTCATTTTTTTGAATCTCATGCTCTATATAATTTTGTTGTCAGTTTTGTGTCTCTTTAGAGGAATTCTTGAGTGTTAAGTCAAATTTGATCACATATAAACTAATAAATCAAGCTACCAAGTTTGCCAAACTCAGTTAACAATTAAAGAATTTTCTTTAATATTGAGGTAGATCCTTAAAAGATATACTAGTAATTTATACGATGGATACCACTAATTAGGATTGTTTCTAAATTTTATACGATCCTTTTATGTAATTATGATTATCCATCCACTAATCCTTTTCTTTATTTGAATATCTCCTATGCCCACCTCCTATTTGGGCTTTAATTATAAATAGGAAACCAGAGATGATCCAACAATGATTGATAGTAATTTATGCAAGTTTACAAATGGTTAGAAGTAATGCAATAATGAATAAAATATTATATCTACATAAAATTTTAATTTACTGATAATTCCCAAATAAAGTTAAGTCTCGGTCTATTTAATTAATCAATTAATCAAGTGAAAGAGTAAATATATTTTGTTTTGTTTATGAAATTTTGATTAATGGTAGATAAATTATTAAATTGATTGATGATTTGACATAGTATCAACATAGAGTTAAGGAGTATTGTGTGTTAAAAAAATTTTGAGTTGATTGGTAATTTATCTCTTTGTTAGCCATTGTTAGATCACCTAATTTCAAAAATTAGAAATTATCAAAATTGTTACATCACCTAATTTAAATATTAAAATTTTTTACCTGTGGACACAACATTAACACCAATTTAAAAACTCCACTTGGCGTGGTGGACTAACGTCGAGAACTAAAATAATAATTTAGCCCTTATAGTTTAAAGTTTTTAACAAATTGGCTCTTGAACATTAGTATGTAACAACTCGATATTTATAGTTTAAAATTTGTAACAATTAAGTCCCTGTAATTTAAATTTTGTAGTGGTTTAGTAGTTGGAAAATACTTAGCTCCTACCTCATTAATTAAAAAAAAAAACAACTTTGCTTTTGAATTTACCTCTCTTAACCGTCAAAAATTAATGTGGTGAGGACAAAATTAATCCTCATACCGGGTAAGACATCGAGTATTTTTCTTAGTCGTCTTACCATGAAAAATCCGATTGATCGGCTATTATAGATACTTCTTACCTATGTAGATCAATAAATTACATTCCTTATAAGTTAATAAATGTCATATGGATAGTTAAAGAAATGAAAGTTTCGTGAGTCAATACTCAGGCGGATCAAGCACGCGGTCTGAATAGGTACGAATCACCTCCTTGAAACATACCTATAGTTTTTCAAACATACATATAATTTTTATGCTAGTTGTATGATTATCCTGTCATGATGGTAGAGCGTCGAACTATGACTTATGTGTTTGACTTTGATTGGTGATTGAGAGATTTGGAGCATGGGGTGGTGGTTTGGAAATTATGCATTAGTTATAATTAGTGTGTTATGATATACTCTACGAGACTGTGATTGTGAGGGTTGTGTTTGTGGAGGGGAGGAGTAGTTCCAATTGAAAGATTTTAGAGAGTGAGTTGTGTTTGGATTGTAGTTACAATATTGGTTTGTAATCTTAGGGAGAGCGTTGGATTTAAGTTGCTCGAGTTTGTGGTGTGACATATAATTGCCTTAAATCATGAAGTTCAGATGGATTGATGGGAGGGGGGTTCGTGTACTTCTTGTGGCCTCTGTTAAGCATTGTAATTATTTATGAACTATGCTTTTGGTTATTGTCATGTCTTTAGGGCACGGAAGATTTTGATGAGGTTACATTTTTTTTTTGTTTGTGGTTGTGGTGAGGAGCGTGTGGAATTTTGTTAGCTATGTTTTATGTTTTTATGAAGCTTTGATTCTTACATTGAGTGGTGATCATTTTGGCTTATAAGAATTTTTGTGCTTGACATGACAAACATCATTTTGGCTTATAAGAATTTTTGTGCTTGACATAGACTATATTTGTCAGATTCTTTGGATTTGGCTGCTACAAAGCTTTGTCAGGTAGCTTTTGGAAGACATGAAGCTTCTAAACTAGGTTTTTATCTGTAGTTTTTGAAATGAAGGTGTAAGAACTTTTGTAGAGTTGCGTTTAATATGAACCTGAATAATATTTTGGTATTTGATATTATTTGATATTGAATGTGTGATATTATTTGATATTTTACCTTATAAGATTCCAAGGATGTAGGGATTCAAATTAGCACCTTTCATTAAAAAAGTTTAAATAAATATTGCCGATGTTTCTAGTAAAAACGTCGGTAAAATTATAAATCTACCGACATTTGCAAAATGTTGGTAGAAGAATAGTTTTTCCAATATTTCTCAAACGTTGGCAAAGCTATACTTCTGCCGACGTTTTCAAAATGTTGGCAAATGGAAAGCTCTGCCAACATTTTTAAAACATTGGCATAACTATACATGTGCCGACATTTTGGTTAGAGAATCAGCTCTAAAGACCGAGAGATGTATGATCTACCAACGTTTCTAGAAAAACATTGGTGATGTTCTCTTCCGACTCAATGTTTTTGCCAATGGATATTTATCGTTGGGAGAAATCACTCTCAGCCTTTTTTTAGATCTTTTCCCAACGTTTTAAAGCATTAGGAAAAATTCAAATTCTTGTACTGTTAGACCAACTATGTTTTTAAGAGACTAAAATCGTTACAAACAAAAAATCAAGACGAGTTTTTTCACAGGTGAAACTAAATCAAAATTATCTTTTTACCCCTCCCTAAAAAAAATTTAACCAAACCCTACAATTAGAAAGCAAAAAAAGAACAAAAGTGAACTCCCAAGTTTCAGGAATGCCATAAATTGAAAAGCAAGTCTCGAACTCTCAAGTAGATACTATGGTACTAAAAACATGGATCTTTGAGCATCCAAAAACATCGGATGCTTCGGGATCTGTGTTTTACAATAATCTAACACAACATCTGACAGTCATTATTCTTATCGTTACTCTCACAGTCAACCAGATCAGTACTGTCCCCTACATCCACTCCCCACGCGCCGCCGTCCACTCCAAAACTACCCCACGCGCCGCCGTCCACCAGTGGTGGGTTATTGATGGAAAAATGGTTGTTGTACACCGACTGTGGCTGTGGGTTGTTCATAATTAAGCTCTCGAGGCCGCCGCCATTTTCGTGGCGCTGAAAACGAATGATTTGAGATTGATGATTTTGTTGGAGTAACGCTGGAGGAGGGAGAGGAGGAATCTGGTGCAATATTGGGGGCAAGGAAGGAGTAGGCAACTTTTCTTGAAAACATGTTTGAATTTGGAAACTCTGAGGAGGCTTCATCTTCCCTGCGGATTTCTGAATTATTCTGCATAGAACCCACTCGTCCTGCAGCGCAAATCAAATCGTTACTCGATTTGACTCGAAGATTTGATAAATCACTCAAAATCCTATAGACGAAGACAAATACTTGTACTCACTACGTTCATGTTTTATAATTAAAAGAGAAAGACAAAAACAGAGAATTTTTTTTTTTTAAATAAAAATAATGGTAGTCAGCATATAGAGATAAGATCATCGCTAGTTAGGACGACCTAATTATGTTCCCAAGAAAGAAGGACTTAGAAACGTAACCTTGCAGGAAATGCAGGAAGTGAGATCAGAGTGGAGGCGATATTCATGCATCACCCACTTAGTCTTGAGACCTCGCGGGGCGCCTCCTTTGTAGAAAACCAAAGTTTTTTTGGTTCCTAGTTTTATCACTCCATTTGTTGTTGAACTTGAACCACTACTACTGTATATTTGCCTGTCTTTCCCTGTCGCTTTCCAGTATCCCGCGACCGTTGCTCTGTTCGTTCTCAACCCAGTCGGATACTTTCTCACCCTTAGGCTGAAAAAGTACCACTCCCTCTCCCCCATCTTTGCCTCATCTGCAGCGATCAAATCAATTTAAATTTTTAGGTCGAGTTACGAAAACTAACGCATACACTTTCAAATGGCAAAAATCTATATATGTACCTGGAAGTTCCCAAGGCTCACATCTATTGAGGTCAACCTCTGCAATATTGACACCATGAAAAGTTCCAAGATCGAAGATTTTCGAGGCCAAATAAAAGGCAATGAGCTCTTCATCAGTAGGGTGAAACCTAAACCCTGGTGGCAACCCATGCTTCTCCTTAGCATCTTCTCCATTTAGTTCACCAATAACTTCTTCAATTCTAATCATTTCTTCTAGAGGGACAGAATTGTGAGAGGTAGAGGGAGAATCTTATAGGGAAACAATAATAATCATAATATATATAATGCGGTTTATAATTATAAGCAAGCTGCAGAAAAACTAAAGGAACAACTCATGAACTGAAACACTCTTTTATTACAAAATTATTTATTATTGTTGTTGTTTTCTGGACCATAGAAGTCTTAGAAAGGACAAAACAAAAAGAAAAGAAAAGAAAGTTAACAGATTGGTGGGTCAACGGGAAAGGCCATTTAATGCAAAATGAAAGCTCAGAACAGAGAAAGAAGAATGCCTTTTTGGTTGAATTGAAAAGTTTGAATCTTCAAAAATGTTGAAACAACTGACTTTTTCTTGTTTTGGGTGGGTCCTATGCTAAATATGCAAGACGTTTTATAAGGATCTTTTTCATTTAAAATTAATTAATAGATTAATTAATATTCTTCCTTTGATTAGTGAGTCTCAGGTGGTGCAAATCTTAAATGGAGAGTCGAAGCTACTGAATGAGAGAGGAGAACAATTATGGAAGATCTTGTTAGAGCTCTCGTTGTTTCGAAGTATTCTCTTCACTCATGTAAATTGCAATATGAATAGATAGCTCATGATATAGCCATCGGATTAAGCTACGATGGAGTCTTTCGATCTTGTGGATTTCCCACTATTCTTCTTGGTTGGTGTTATTAGCTGAGTCTTAAACTGCCCATGTGGCGTGATTTTTAATGAAAGTGCTCCTTTCAAAAAGTAAGTATATATATATATAGACCTTCTAAACACTCATTCAATAGTCTTGACCACCGCTAAAATATTATATTAGTCATGTTTGGTAACGATTTCATTTTTAACTAGTTTTATACTTTTTCAAATTCGTTCCCTCATTTTTTTCTTGTATATTCAATATACTTCTTAAAAACACTTGAATTCATTTAACCAAATTCTAAAATAAAAGATGAAAAGGAATCTTTTAAAAACTACACTTTTTATTTTTAAAAGTATAATTAAATAAATAGTATTTATTAGCTTAATTTTAAAGAACAAGAATTCAAATATTATCAAACACTGTCTTAACTTTTTAATTAATATAATCCTTTTAATTTAAGACAAAGTTAAGGGGGCGATTGCATCCCTTCTCTAACTTTCTCTCCAAATATATAGTTGGTAATCGATAATACAAGTCAATTAATCGACACATAATCAAGACTAAGTAGCTAATCAGACTCAAATTTCATTCACTTTATTTCTTTTGTTTCATCTCACCCACCCGACTAAACCACTCCAAACCGCAAGAAAGAAGAAGATCTCTCTTTCCCCTCATCAACCAAAAATATCAGCGGTAGCAATAGCAATAGCGACGACAAGGACAAAACACGACGGCAAAGGAGGAGAGAAGAAGTAAATATTAAATATAAGGGGGTGTTTTTGGTGTAAGCTTTAAATAAAATTCAAAGAGGGAAGAAAGGCTATGACCGACCTCTCAATGGCCTAAGCCAACAAGAAAAAAATAATAGAGAGAGTACCATAAGATTGACTATGATAAGTGTAGGAGGGCATGGCCTTGGATTCTTTCTTTAAGGAGGATGAGGACATGACAGGTAATAATAATAATATTATTATTATCATTATTATTATGTTGAAGTAATTAAGGGTAGAGGGGAATAGGCATAGGGTAGAAGAGGCATTCTTAATTTTTTGTTCCATTGCCCCACTTTTATAGGGCATGGACTCCCTACAAATCTATAGAAAAAAAATTTTAAAAAATAATAAAGTGGTTAGAATAAAAATAGAGAGAAAAAATTATGGTATTACGGTAGTATGAAAAACCTCTGTTCTTTGTTGGCGGGCATTAAGCAGCATTTTCGTAATAGTGTGGATCGTATTAAAATATTACTTGTTGATGTGTCAAAATCTAAATAGAAGAAGTAGGTACTAAGACGTAGTTCTAGAAATTTTCTCTAGAGATAGATGCTCACGAGTAAACACCTAAATATTTTTTTTAGGAGAGTGTAGTAATGGTCAAAGTGAGCATACTTCAACGATAATTGGTAAAGGTTGTGGGTTCGACATCCACCTCCAAATATTGTATAAAAAAAAGGAGGAAAAAAAGAGTGTAGTAATGAAAAAGTGACCTCTCCTGAAATTATTTCCAACGTCCTTGTTGTTTCATTATTATTCTCAAATATTTGGATTCTTTCTAGATTTACATTTCGAAGAAAAAAGGTTTATTATGTATCTTTTCATTCATTTTTCTTATTTGCTTCATTTTTCAATCTTATATTTGATTTTATTTGATTTTATTTTTTTGTAATTTAAAATTTCTTTTCTCAGTTTATTATATATTTAAATTTTAAATTTAGTATTAAACGGGAGATATTCGAACTCATGACCTCTTGGTCAGAAACATGTGTCAATTATCGCTGAGCTAAGTTCATGTGTTAGCTACTTTACTATTATTTTGTAATACTTTCAAACTTTCATTTATTGTGAATCTTTTACACAATATAATTAATCATCCATCAATCTTATTCTCTTTAATATCTTATCATTCTATTTACCCTATTTCTAGCTTTGACATTTTTTATTTCTATACAACATATCTATTGCTTCTTTTATCTGTCTGTCGTTATATTCTGTTGTTCTTTTTTTTCACTTTCCTAGTTGTTTTATCTATTATAATCTTTTCCCTATTCTTTACTAAATGTTTTAATTTTAATATAAATTACTTTACTATTATTTTATACTACTTATAAGTTTCTATTTACTAGGAATATTTTACAATATATAATGTAATTAATCATCTTTGAATCTTATTCTCTTTGGCACCTTATCATTGATTCTATTTTTCTATTTACTATATTCAGGTATATTAGTTTATACATGCAACCTATCTATCGAATATTTTATTGGTCTCCACCATTTATATTGGCGGAGCCACAAAGGGAATTATACCATATTTATCAAAATGTACCTTGCCTTATTTTCTTGAAATCATTTATTGTCCTCGGTGTTCTTGTGTTCGAGTCTTAGTGATGGCTTCATGTGTCAATTACTATTGATCTAAGTTGATGTATTTTTGTTTTTAAGATCAATGCTGCCACTTATCGTATACGTTCTTTATGTTGTTCATTTTTCTAGTTTTACTAGTAGTTTTATCTATATATTTTTCCCACTCTTTTACTAACCTTATTCTAATGTGTACCTTTTTCTTTCAAATCAAAGGGCCTTAGGAGATGGTCGGATCTCTTATATCTACCAGTTCTCTCTTCAAATTTAAGGATTCTTGTGTTTGTAATTATCCAATATCATATCAAGGACTTTGAAGTATATTAAAAACAGCGCGTGAAAAATAAACAAGTTAATTATTTCAATATTTTGCAATACCACGCAAATAGAAAGGAGGGGTACATGAATAAATCGATACTACATCAGAATGAGAGGGATCCTGAGATCATGGAAGTATGATTAAAAAAGACTTAAAGAATTTCTAGTCACTACCTATACCAACAAGATGCACATATCTTTTCGGTGGCTCAATCATAAGAACTTCAAAGTTAAGCGTGTTTGGTGTCGAATCCTACCATGCATCTTATAATTAGATTGGGATTTCAACCCTCCTATCTCAATTTGTTGTTTAAAAAAAATGTGAAGGATTTGTATCACGTGTCTGTTTTGGTTTTGCATAGTATTTTCAAAGAAGATGCTAAATGCGTATAGTTTTTTAGGACAAGAACGAGAGGGGAGACCAACGTAGATGGACAAGAAGATTAATTGAGACTCAAAGAAAGAGGTTTTCAAGGCTCGAAATGGATTTTTTTCGTTTTTTATTTTTTTATTTTTTTATTTTTGAATACAATAAGTAGGAGTGAGGATTCGAACTCGTGATCTTTTAATCCGAGATTGGTGACTTAAACAATTGAGTTATGCTCCGGTGGGAATTTAAAAATCGACAATTTCCTTTTTTCTTTTCTATACTCTCTATTTTCAAGTTTATTATAATTGAGTTGTACTTGGGAGTTTTCTCTTTTTAAGTGCTATTGGTGTGTTTGTACCTTCTTCATTCTTTGTCCATTTAATCTAGAGACTACAAATTAAGACCATTTGGTAACGTTCCCGTTTCTTGTTTCTCGTTTCCAATTTTCTTAAGAAATCTAAGTATTTTGCCACTAACTATATGTTCTTATTTCTCTTCTTTTTTTTTTTTGAATATTCTCAAAATTATATAGAAATTTTGAAAACAACAAAAACAAATTTCTTCTTTCTTGTCCTATTTCCAATTTGTTCCAAAACATAAATAAAAAGATTATTTTTATCATACTTGAATTCATGGATGTTAAAGTCATGCAATTCATTTTTCTTTATTAAAAATGAAGAAACAGGAACATTGTCCTTAATCAATGTAATTAGACAAAACATTTTAGAACTAGGAGAGGAAGTCTAAGGTTGAATGATCTTGAATTTTAGAGAGGTTGGGAAAACCTTAAAACCATTTAGAGATCGTCAAAACAATTAGAGTTTAAGACATTAACAAATTATTGAAGTTAAATAGAAATATTGATTTCGAGATTATCATGGAGAACTCAGCTAATACTCAAGAGACAGATTTGAATCATGAACTCTGCTATAAGAAAGAGTTTCTTTTTTTTTCTTTTTGTCCCAATTAAATTAATTACTTTATTCACATTTTTGTGCCAAATCGAACAGGAACACGGTGCGGTTCGTTAAAGTATATATTTTTCGAATCCCCATCCCTTATGAAAAAAAACTATGTTCACATTTTTCGTTGGTGAAATTAACCTCCTATGATTCTAATAAATGTCCCTCCATACTAGCATAAGAATATATTTTTTAAAACATTTCACAACTTTTTCCCTTTTTTTCAAATATAGCAACAGTCTGACTTTTCTTGGTGTGTTTTGATTTAAATTATGTTATTTTTGTAAAATTTCAAACTTTTACTCCATTTGAAAATACATGTTTAATTTATGCTATTTTTGTAAATACATTAAAAAAAACCTAACATGATCGTGCTTCAGAGGAAAATAAAGATAGAAACCTAGCAAGTAATTTATTCCCAAAGAAAATTTGTCATTGTCATAATTAGTGAGTTCTTTGGGTAAATTCAAAAGGAGATAGCAAAAACCATGTACCTCCCTCCATCAAACTCACTGTGGTGTGTGAGAATCAGCTAGGTGCTCTGGACTTCATAACCACCACTTCCAGAATGCCATCAGGCCGGAAAGTAGGAGAAGACAATCGCGGATCAACCGGTCCCGGAAGCTTAAAAGAAACCGTAAAAGGACCCGGAGGGCAAAGTTGCTGGACTTTCATCTGGTACATAGCTGATGATTCTTTTAAAACGCTTGGACTTGTCATCACTCCTTCAATCTGAACCTTACCATCGCACTTGATCTCACATTTAACTTTACCTGGAAGGTCGTCTAATTCGTTATCGCTCTAGTAAGAAATTGCACGATATAATAGATCGGTCCCAGGATTATCGTTTCATAGGTATAAGCAGGACGAAATCTATTCAAATACAAAGAGCTTACTTTGATCCTTTCGTACACCAGGGAGTGCAACGCGGAAAAGGTATGCACCTTCGCTCACGCCAATATCAACAAGACCGATCGGAGGGCCAGAACTACCTTCCTTGGCTGTTCCAGTTAAAATAACAGATGGCTTCAGCTTCGTATTATCAGCATGGCCTTCCATATCCATGCTCCAATAATGGCACTTTCTAGACTGTTTGTCTACTGTTTTCAGTTCACCTGTTAATTTTACTAAACATCAAAGGTGTACCATATGAAAAATATCAAAGAATGTAGGACGAAAAACATGTGATGTAATTCAAAGTTAAATAATGAAAGAAGAGATTATAACATATATAAAATGATGCACCTCCATCAAAGTCAAATTTCAGTTCTGTTATTTGCACAAAAGTATCCTTCCTAAATTTAAAATCGTAATATGTAAATACTGAATATCTTTAATCACATTTCTGGCAGTACTAAATACTCTTTAGAGTGTTTGCTCTCCTATGTTTATTTCATCACCTCTGTTCTTGAAGAATAAAATAAGGGATATTTCATCACCTAGTAAACCAGACAGAGATATTTCACAATAATGTAACTTCATTAAGCGATTTCCCTATTAAATTTCGAGCAGCCACTCATTTAGAACTTCTTTTGCAAGGACTACAACAAGGTATGAGCTTTTTATAAATGGACTAATCTGCAAGAATCATGATTGTTCCTTAACGTCTTTCTAAAGTCTTGTACTAGTGTAAGAACTGAGAAGTCTCTTTTCATGCAAGTGCATGCTGATTGAAGATGTAAGCTGCAAAATCAAAGTCAACAGCAGGATAACTCATGCCGGTTGACCGAAGCATACTATAAATCTGCTGATGACCATATGATACGCATGCAACACAGAAATAGGGTTCCACATACCTGCTGCATATCCTCGACTCAGTAAGAGTGACCATGTCTACATCCCAATGCCTATGCAGTAAAATAATGAATCAACAATTAGAAATTTGACTATGATGCCAACTTTTACGCTTATGGTGGCAAAAGGTTGTTTGAAATACAAAGCCTGACAGATTTTAAACTTCATACACGGACATTGCGATGTATTCCTCACATACATAACCAATATAATTAAGTTTGTATTCCTGAATCTTTAAATGGTCAATGCACCTCAAATCTTTCAGTAATAAAGCATTCCAATAACAGATGAAGCGGTGTCTAAACTGCCACTGGATCAAAAAGGTTGAACACAATGGGATTTCAGTAATGGCTGGATGTAAAATCATGCATTTCATAAAAAGATCAGTAATTGAACCATGAAGTGCACAAGGCCAATAGCAGAGGGAAGAAAGGGAAGAAATTATAACACACCTGAAATTACGGAACTAAAAATGTTCAAATGGATACTGAATCATTTATATCATAAACAAAAGTTATCATTGGCAGGCTCTTCTCATCTTGTCTTAAGGACAGAAAGTTGGCAAGTTTAATGGAAGAAATGAAGTTCATGAACAAGGATCTTGATTCAATTACTATGGATAAATTGAACAAGAAACTTTCATTTACGAAGGATAAATTGTGAATCTAGAGCATAAAAATCTTCCCAGTGTGGTGACAATATCGTCTGGCTTGTAGCTCCTAAAAACCATTGAATCACAGTATGTCGTATAATCTCAAATCTGATAGATTCTCTAAACAAGTTTATTGGTTGAATTTTATGTGATTTATCAATTATTTTATGGGCAAGTCTCAAATTCAACTAGGAGGTATTGATTTCATCACCTATTCGAGTCGAGGGATAAAAAATTGAAAGTTTCTAAGACAAATAAAGGTAAAAATGACTCCCTCCTGACCACTGTACCTGTACGTTAGTGTGTGCACATAGACGCACTCTGAAAATTGCACGGGATTCTACTAATCAACCACGAAAAATAATAACATCAACAAGACGGGAAAAGGTCCAAGAATACAAAGATAATTTACCTATCCAATTTCGAAACAATGAAAAGCATTACAGTACTATCCAAAGAAAAATCGAGAAAATAAAGCTACCAATCACCACATTTCTCAGACACCGTTCATCATACACAGGGGAAATCAACGAGCAAATAAACCAAGCGGAGAATGGCAAAAGGAAGTTAAAACTGATGGGCAAAAGCCGGGAAAAAGTCGAAGAAGACGAAGATGATTTCCTTACCTAATTACGAAACAGCGATAAATGAGCGTTACATTACCACCAAAAACAAACAAACAAATAAAGCTATGAACCTAATATAGACCATGGAATGGACGAATTCTTCATCCAAATCAGAATTGAAAGCCACCAATCACATTCTTTCTCAGAGACCATAGAAGATCGACGAGCAAACAACCCAAGGCGGAGAATTGCAAAAGAGAGAGAAAAATCGAACGTAAATGGCCGGAAACAGTACCTGAAGCTGGCGGCGGAGAAATGAATTCAAATCAGTGGTTGGTTTGGGATTCGCAGGGGCGGGTTTTGGGGAAGTTCAAAACAAAGAGAGGAAGAAATAGAGCAAAGCGCTACTGCTGCTGCCGCTGCTGCTTTGTTCTTCTTCAGATACAATACGCCAATTGTCCAAACGACGCCGTAATAAAATCAAAAGAATAAAAAAGGAAAATATTTGGGGTGAGAGAGGCTCGAACTCTCGACCTCAGGATAACTCTTAAGCTATGAGACCTACGCGCTAGCCAACTGCGCCACCACCCCAGTTGTTCTAACTTTTCCATATAAAATTATATTTTATAATTTAGCACTTTTTAATAAGGGTTTTTAACATAACACCTATGTTTTATCAATAATAATAATAATGAAACACCAGTGTATTTAGTTGACGCGTCGTTTTCATTTGTATTTCTAGCGGCTTTTACATAAAGAGTGAATCGACGTTTGTACTAATAATAATAATTAATTTTAAACTTATTTAAAATAGAAAAGATGTTCTTTTAGAAATATTCATGGTACCCTGTGAATATTTCTATAAAATTGATAACTTGATATTTTTGTTAGTTTTATATTTAAAATCTTGTGGTGCGTACAAAAGTATTAAATCAATATTAAATTACCGTAAAATGAACAAAATTCATAAGTGGTTGTTTTTTTTTTATTTTCTTAGAATCTATTTTTATTTTTTATTAAACAAAACTATGTTTTTTAAAATGATTTCTTAAAACACAATGTAAGTCTTGGATAAAAGTTTTTTCCTGTTTTTTTGTTTTTTTAATGTTTCATCAATATCTTTATAACTAATATCCCAATATTTCCCTCAATGACATTTAATTCTTTGATTGTCCTTTTCATTGAAAATTATCTTTTTCTTTCTAAAGTTCAACATCATGTAGCATGAGAATTCCAACTAAGAACGTTTTAAGAAATTATGGTTACGTCTTTTTAGCAATGACTTCAATTTTCAATTAATAATTCAAGAAAATAGAAAGTTGTTAATGTAATCTTATTTTAATTTTTGTAATAATTTTCTTTCCCTCTCTCCTTATTCCTCAATTGAGGAATTTGAAATTGAGGTTTAAAGAATCTCCATTTTCAAGATAGAATAAACTTTTAACATATAATTTAGTCTTTAATATTTAAGACTTTTTTAAATTTAGACTCTAATCTCTTATCAATTTAAATTTCATCTTTTGTGTTATTTTTTTTTATTTTTTTCTTTTCTAAGTTTAAGAACATTAAATGTTGGAAAGTTCCCGCTCTAGGACCGCACCTCTTTCAAAAGACTGCGCACGTCATGATCGCGCCTCCCTCCAAAGAGGGTGGTGCCCCTTATGCAGCCCCACTTTGGGTGCGGCCACGATGGTCGGGGCTCTCACATTGGGCATGCCAACGATGGTTGCAATCCCTACCTTCAGTGCGACCATGATGGTCGTTGCCCCTGTGATGGGCACAACTATGATGATTGTACCTCCCTCCTTTTCGCCCCAAGATGGCACTTTGAAGGTGTTTCAACATCCCATGTGGCCCCCACCGTAGGCACGACCAGGATGGTCATGCCCCCACTTCCTTGAAGGGTCGTGCCTCAGCTACAATCGCGCTTCCTTCCTTTCAAGGATTCACGCCATCCCGTGCAACCTCCACTACGGGCACGGCTAGGATGGCTGCGGCCCGCTTCCTTGAAGGGTCGCGCCACTCTCCTTGAAGGGTCACACGCAGTGACCACGACACACGCACCATTGCATTAGCAACAACACCCCGCACCACCGCATCCCCTTGTCCACTTGTGGGTGGCACAGAACCATGACGTCACATGCAAACTTACTCCCCAAGTTTACTTGGGGAAGTAAGCAAAAGAACCTCGTTCCTCACTCTCAACTCCATAAACTCGAGCAATTTTTTTCCAATGTTTGATGTTGACTTAGTACGTCGGTACCACGCTGGCATTAACTCATCACCTGTTTTTTTCCAAATCATTCGATCCAGTCATACGAGTCAATAATTTTTTTTCCCTATTCATAATACATGGGGTCAAATTCGAACCACCCAAATCAACCAACCTCATCAAATTACGTTTTAACACTAAATGTTATGTTTATCCAAGAAAAACATTGTTATAGATTTAGAAATATTAACTTTTATGGGAATTTGACCGATTTGACCTAAAAATGTTTTAGGTTTGCTCAAATGACCCAAATTCAGATTTTTCACTTATATGACCCAATTTCTCTTTTTCTGACAAGTCAGAGAAGGTGGTTTGACGAAATTGCCCATGTTGTATAAGAAAAAAATGGACACATCTATTCTTAAAAAACTCAACCGAGATCGCACAAAACTCGACGGAGTTTTTACAAAATTCCCCATAATTTTACTAACTGTTGGTCTTTGATTTCCCCTTTCTTCTTCCCTTCTTCTTTCTTCTTTCCTCTTTTTCCCTCTTTCTTATTTCTCGTATTTCCTCTTCTTTGGTTGAACGAGTACCATCCARTCTTCCTCCTTCATYGAAAGTGATCTCAAATAAACTGAAAGGTTAGTATTTGGGATATTTGTAGTCTTTATACTTTCTTCATCGAGTTTTGGTCATTGATAATAGAGCTGTTTTCAAACGATTTTATTTTGATTGTGTTTCTCTGTTAAAGTTGATTGTTGARGTCCTGTGTCTAAATATTTTCTGTTAAATGTGGAAAAAATAAAAGAAGTGTATGTGTTTTCTGAACTGGGAAGGAATCTGGGTTTTCGTTGCATCCCAGTGGAGTTTTGATGAATCCCTATCGAGTTCTTCAAATTTTTTCGAGAAAAGT